ACTAGTAAGTACAAAGTCACAATTCATCTGTCAGCCATTTTGTTTTTCTGGTAAGTCCTAAAATCAAACTGGCATGACTTACACAAAGGAGAATCTACATATTCAATTTGAGAAAGATTTAATACAGAATGTAAAACATGACGAACAATTTCTGATTCCAGCATTGTGTCAGATTCACTTTTCATAAAGAGACTCACTATTTATTTAAAGTTGATTCCCTTTAACCTAGAAAAAAATTTGGGCAAAATCCAATCATTCCTACAGGAGGAGTAGGATTTTAAAGAATTTGCTCAATTACTCCTATTTGTCCCACCCCAGGTGGCTGAGACCCACCATTTATACAAAATTTCTTTCCTGTCCCCTATGGATGCTTCTGACTATATTTGGTTAAAATCCTGTAAGTCATTTTTGACTAGTAGTGATTCGTATGAAAAAGTTGATGGACAGATGAATGAACTGACAGGTGCCACAGTATGTCATAAGCTCACTTGGCCCTTCAGGCTGGGTGACCTAAAAATTATTTATGCATGGACAGATAACAGACATTGGTTGGCTAAAAAATTATTTCATAATAATAACAGTTGTTCTTAACCTGATTGTGTATTAACAATTCATTATGTACGGGTGTAACTGAACAGCGTCGACCTTCGATGTTTGTCTTCTCCACAACTGTTTACCTATTAGACATGATTTAAACATAAATTATTCTTTCAATTAATCAAAAACACATTTTTGTATCATTGAATGTAGGCATATCTCAACGTAATCAAATCAAAAATGGTAATGTCACAGCAATGTTTGTCATATATTTATGTAAGGAAGGTAACTCTTAACAAAAAACAGTACTTACAGTAGGTATCAAGTGCTTTATATATATATGCCTTGTTTCAGCCCATTCACTAATTACACATACCAAAGTTTGCAAATACTATGCTGTATATGTTGCTTTATGCATATTATTAGAATTCATCCAAAGGGGAAGATGAAAAACTAAATTTTTACTTCTATAAAATCATATTTTTTCTCGAGGTGCTCAATTTTCATGGTTTTTCAAGAAGTCAACATTTGTAGTTACTTGGCATCGTGGCTAAATACATACAGCTCAATAAATCTTCTTATGCCTATCCTTTGTCTGTGGACATATAAATTTGTGGATCAAGAGTGCCAATGAAATTGACGAAAATAAAACTCCCACAAAAATTAATGGTTTTAAAGTACTTGTTGGATTACACAATGGTTCATTAAACTATGATTGGTCTTCATTATATTCACTGATTGATCATACTTTACAGAAATATAAAATCTACACTTGTTGGATACCATATCATAAATATACTTTGTATTTAGTTGTATTATAAGGTATGTGTTACCAGAGAAAAGGAGTTTTTTCATTAGTTATTTAAATTAGTTACAGGTATTCTGTCTCTGTGACTCCTCTTGTTGCCGAGTATCATCTCATGACAAACATCAGTGTTCTGAAGATTTTTTTTATCCGAAAATTTCTCATTTTTGGAAGTCAAACGCAGACATTAATACTGACAAGGGTCTAGTAATCATCATAAATGCCATGGAACTAACATGGTCAGTACTTTAAAGGATTAAAAAATTTTAGTTTTCTATTATGCAACTTCAATTAGTTTTATCTCACCAGATTTCAAATGCTAGCTTCCTTGACCTTAATCACTGTATGATATTTCTATTTATAAGTGTAGTTAGGGGGAATAAATCTCCTTTGTAAAATCTGCAACATCTGAGCCCTTCATAAGAGATCTGTGCACAACCAAATCGAATCATAAAATAGCAGTTTAAAAAATAAAATCTAAAGATCAAAATAATATTTCACTTGGGGATCTTTCAGAAATTCTTGCAAAAAACGTTGAAAAACTCTTGATTCAGATATCAAATTTATAAACAAAACTATTTGTGTATGAGCATAAAATGTGTATTTGAGCGAGATAATGTTTTAATGAACACAGGCCCTGGTGACTGTTACAAACCATCTTCAAGCAGTGCTCCAGATAATTTTTAACCAATCATTTACCCACTTTTACAACCTTATGGGTAAAATATAATTTTGTTCATTCTATAAGAGTATAATCCAACTTTCAGCATGATATCGGACTATCTTTTGTTGATTTGTGTGATCTTTCCTAATCTAATAGACAAGAGTATCAGTGAAACTGATGAATGCTCTGAGAAAACAATTTTATTGAACATGAAATTTAATCCAAGGGCAATAATCCTGTAAATAGAAGTTGCTGATCCTAAATTTAGTATACTGCACATTCTCTTAGTATGATCAATGTATACATCAAGTTTCAATAACTCCTAAATTATACAAAATAGAGTTATGGTTCTTGTACACTGCACTTCTCCTTACCGAGATCTACCTGCCTATGAAGTTTCATGCTGATATCTCTTGTAGTTTTGTGACAGACGGATGGACAAATGGACAAACAAATGGATGGACAGATAGACAAAGTTGCGACTGTATGCTCTCCCTTTGGGTGTTAGGTAAAGTCTGGATCATGTACACTTTATTAAACACTGATAGGTAAATAAAAATGACTGTGTAATGGGTTTGTATAAATTACAGTAACAACACGTGTTTCTTTAATTTTGGGTGGTAAAATATGCAAATTATCTGGAGCATTGTTTAAATTTTTGTCTAAGATATCATTTGTTGTTGCTACTACCTAGCCTGAACTACTTTCATGATACATTTTCTTACATTTCAAAGATTGCTGTGAACTTTCTATCCTTTCTAATGAATTCAGATGCAAAATAGAGCATTATTGAAATTCAAAGTTGAGGGAAGATACATACACCAAACAATATTGAATTCCTTAAGATGCTCGCATTTCTAGAGAATGGAAATAGATATGGTAATAAATTTATGACTGGTATGGGCTTTCATTGCTCGCTAAATACAGTATTGATGTAGGGGATGGACATAACAGTCATAAAAACAGAAACAATTACGACTATCCAAGGGTACATAATGCAATATGTGAAATCAATATTGTAGCTTAAGTCAGGTACTAACTGACCATGTTATCCCACAATAAGCCCAGGGGCAACATGTTACTCAAATACAGGAAGCTGAGAGCTTATATTATTACAGTATGATATGAAAGAGCACAAGAGCTAACAATTCACTTACATGAACAGTGATTATCAAGAATGATTCTGATAATCTAAACCTACCACTTAACAACCACTAGTGTGTGAATCTAATTTTAGAGTCAATATATTGCCACAGACAAATAAACAGTGTCACGTAAGTGCCAAGTGTTAATTTCTCTTTGCATTGAGGATTTTAAATCACATTGACACTTTATATACATCAGAAAAGAAAAAGCAGGTTTAAACTTGTACTGAAAAATAACAATAACAAATTATACATAAAATTGATACAATTGGCTTTTTTAGTCTTACACTAAAATTAATGTAAATGTTAATTAAATTCCTGTTTTAGCACTGGAGAAGTGTATAGCATCATATGCTTATAGCTATACCTACGAAATGCACAGTGACCAAGATATTGCGTTTCTTTGCATTATACTGACAAATCAGGAAAGTGGAAAGTTCTGTCAGCTTGAAAATTAATGGCCTTTAAATCACTAATACCTTATAAATTTTCATGTCTTTTTTCATAAAGTACTACCAAACATTATAGATCAGAATTTGAACCTCTGGAAAATAAAAAATAAAAAAAAAAAAAAAAAATATATAGTCATTATGCAGTAATTTCTTTATAATAAATTTTGAATGTTTTTTTTAAAAACTTTTTCAATCAATATCATAATCATTGCTTATTTCAAAACTGTAAATTCCTTTCATATTTAACATACTCTATTCTTGTAATTGATTTCGTCCTGTATTAGTGTCCCTTTATAATCCAAATCTGGTCAGAAATTTCAATTCAAATTGCTAACAAGAAACATCTAAGCTTATGTTAATTACCTGTCATTAAAGAGTTTTGATTGGTTCTCATAGAATTATGGTACATGTCTGTCACAATGTACTAATTCAGATTACTCTATGTCACTGTTTCAAGCATGTAATATAAATGGGACTGGATTATCTCTATCATGGGACAACTGATTTGGACATATTGAAATTATCACAAATTCACAACAACACTGTTCTTGTGGCCTAATATCATCAATAATGATCGCTACATAATCTTTCATCAGAAATGATAAATTCTCATCAGCAACCTAGCATGCAGATATTAAATTTGAATGTAAACTAAATAATCCAATCCTGCTTTCTGAAAAAAAATCAATATTACATCATATGCTTTAGGCATACAGAAAGTTACATCAGTCGACTGTTGTTCCAGTGTTTCGAAATAATTACATGTATCATAATTTCATTTCAATGGAAATTCCAAGTAAAGAAGTCATACTGAATAACAATAATAATTGAGAACTCCAAACTACAAATGGATAAAAACGTGTAAATATTTCTTAAAATAAATATCAAATTCAAAATCGAACGACAAGTTTAAATTCAATATTACATCACATGACAAATACATTTTATCTGGAGCTGTTATTTAAAAGTTTTTTTCTCCTTTCCAATCGTTTCAAACTATTTCTCATTTCAGATACATACATTCTACTTTTAGAAATTCTGAGAACATTTAAAAATATTCTACAGTGATTTCAATAATTTTCACATAATTTAATTCAAGTATAAATTGGAAGTTTCGGGACGATAATTTTACTCAGCTGTTAGAAGACTTAATGGTATAAAAAAAACTTTCATTTAACTAAAACTTGAGTAATTTTTGCAAAGCAAACATTTCATTTGTCATGAAGGCGATTTTACGATGTGGCCTATATATTCAACGCCATTCATATAATTTTCACGTCACATGTTTGTAAACAAACCCTGGTCTCATTGATTGACAGCTGACTGACAGCGGGAGCGCAATACTGAAATAATGACCTACAAAATGACCACTTCATATGACGCAAGATTATAATTACCAGGTAAGGCTGCAGTCGGTCAAGCGTGTCTTGCTCTTGACCACGGAATTTTCGACGGTCATGCCAGTATGCAACACTTTCCTTTCTGTACAGATTATGCCCCGAGGGTAACTGCAAACTGTGACACTACTACACTTGATTTGGTGACGTAGTACACAAGCACATGCTGGAAGCAGGATGGCGCTTGATATGAGGAAAAACCAAGATGCACTTATCAAGGCTTATCGGGCAGTTGTGGATGACAAGTCTGAAACGGATTGGTGAGATTAATCTTTCATAAGATAGGAAATTGTTTGGATCATTTTTCAGCAATCTCCAAGTCTGCACAAATCTGAAATATCTGGTTGATATCGCCAACCCGCCCATTTTCTCTTGTCCGTGTCACTCCCAAATGTTTACTTCCGGTTATTGTTTCGCTTTAGTTTTAATACATCTGGACCGATGGCTCAACCAAATAATTCTAGATATGTAGGTCATAATACGACCTATAAATTAAAGTCATTCTGTGTGTTGTCAGGACCATCGACATAGTAGACTTGCTGAATTGGTCCCCGAACTGCGTGACCGCATCAAAGTCGATTTCACCTGTTGAACATTTGACTCACTTTGTGCGGTATGGTATGAATCATCAACGCACATCACAGCATAGCCCGTTATCACTTGGTCCTGGGTTAATGAAAGTTTGCGATCTGCTTTTTTTGTGATCTTTGCTTTCATTTTCTTATGAAAAATGTAGACCCTGTTAAGAATGAGATGGATAGATATTTGTCATATAGAGTTGGAGAATACTTAAAGGTTGCCCAACCACATAATACTCATCTGACTCTCTTCTCAAGCTGATATACTTAATCTATGATTGACCTACCATCATGACTTTGCCCCAAATTTGATCCAGAGTAATCTGCAGTATATTGCTTAACACAAAAAATGTAGATTTGCAAAGAAATGTTTATATAAAACTGTATGTAACAGAGGTCATTATTTATTTCAATGTCTCCGCTAAGTATCGAACCCAGACCTCTGGCTTACTAGTCTGATGCTCAACCAATCAAGCTAAAGAGAATTTCTCTCTAGACGAGTGGTATATTGCGGCTAGTATTTTACCAGGATTACATTTACAATTCATCAGATTTTTGGCAATGTATTTTGATAAAACTGTTAAATTGAGTTTCACATGTGATAGAGAGCTGGGACAAAAAAGATTTGTCTTAAATTGCCATCCATCAATAGCTGTAGAGAAATTGAATGCATGCACATCTGACTTGTGCCAGGAGAACAATTTTTATAAAACTCTACCAAATGAATATGTCTAAGCACAGCCCTTTCCTCAACCTCAAAACATGAACTGTCTAAAGTCATGGCCTGACAAAAATGGATACATGATTTGAAGAAAAATTAGTGGCTTTGGATGTTAAATGAACATGGAAACGTAAGTATTACATATCTTAGCTGATTTATTTTGTCAGCAACTACACTGCATTTTCTTAAAAGGTTGTGTCATGATATTTAGTACCACACAAGGCAGGGCTCTCACACCCCATTTTGGGACTGGGGCCCGGGGCCCTTAGAATTGGGAAAACTTTGGGTCTAAATTGGGAAAAAAATGATTTTGCATTGGGAATTATTCGGCCCCAAATCTGGCAGATCGAGAGCCCTGCAAGGTATCTGTATGCAATGTCTACAAATTTATGCTTTAGACTAAAGTCATTACCATCTGACTCAAAAACAAGAGTTATGATTATTATGAATAGGAAAATCAAAGTAATCTGTTGGCTTACTTTTAAACAGCGACATATATATATATATTTTATTACTGTATTGGTGAAAAAACATAAATTTATTGTACATATTTTTATTTTGAATGAAAGCCTGTGGAAAAAGTATCTAGTTTGTTGAAAGAAAGTTGGAGAAGGATTCAGGAAAGTAATAACTCTGTAACAAATGTTAAGCTTCCTTATCTTATGATATTACATTTCACACTTGATTGTAATTTCAAGGGCTTGTTCTCAGTATCAGGGTTTCTGTCGACAGCTGATAGATAAAATTTGAGGGAAGTAGATGATGATGAAGATAAAGGGCCTCATGAGGGAATATCACATTTCCTTGTGTCGCAAGTTGTGTAATATGAAGTTACCTTAAATATACACATATAATGCATACTTTTTAAAGAAATTTTCCTTTTTCAAAAACATGATGTGCATCATACACAAGAACAATGCATTTTCTTGAAAGTTCATAATCTGACTCGGTCCCATATATATGCCAATGCTTCTGTGTACTCAGTTTTGAGTTTTAATGAAAATGTTGATATTTTCTTGTTCATTCTTAATCGCAAGTTGTGTTACCTGATTGCCTGTTCTGTCATTAAGTCAGGGTCATCAAACAATATAAATATGATGTCAACCATTGGCAAGGTTAAGTCAGAGACATCAAACTTTATAGATATGTTGCCAACTGTTGGCAAGGCTAAGTCAGAAACGTCAAACCATTGGCAAGGCTTTTATCTCCTTATTTCTCCATTCGGGAACAAAACGTTCAGTTGGGAAGGAAATTTTTGTGAATGAGGCCAAAACAAATCCATTAGGGAATGAGGCCCACTGGGATAGAACCACAAAGATAAGCACAAAGTTATTGGATCAAGACATTCATTTTATATATAAGAGAGACAATTAACACTTAACATTAAGATTTCAATCAGTTACATATATCTGTATGTCTCATTCAAAATCACCATGCATAAACTCCCTGTCAAACTTTTCTCACCAGAGGAAGGGGCATATGTATTTTGCAATTTACATTAAAAAAATGCTGTTTTTGACCCAATTTTTTAAATTTATCACTATAACTGCACAGCATATAATTAAGTACAATTACCTATTTTAATTACCGGTAGGGATTAAACTATACTTAATGTATAGACACTGTATTCATTTATGACAGACTCAAGAAAGAATATTGCTAGCTTGTGCGAAAAATTATTCGTCATGAGTCATGGTAACCACATACGAAAAAAAAATTGAAGAGTGTGTTGGTTGCTATAGTCGGTATGTTCTGAGTACTGACTATTGCCTTTTGTTCTGCCTTGTGCGTCACAAACTTTTAATATTTTTGATTTCTTTTGAAAAACACCTGAACCAATTTCAGTGAAATTTTGCAAAAACCTCTCATGGCTTAAGATGCACCAAAATTGTAAATTATATGATCCACAACCCCTAGGGGCCTGAGAGGTAGGGCCAAAAATGGTCAAACTGATTCAAAATTCAAAAATCTTCTTCTCAGTACCCAGATAAAGTAGAACTAACTACTCTGCCTGCATGGAAAAGCCTTCCTATATTTTACTAAAATTGTAAACTATATGATCCCCAACCCCTAGGGGTCTGAGAGGTGGGGCCGAAATGGGTCAGATTGATTGAAACTTCAAAAATCTTCTTCTCAAAACCCAGATAAAATAGAACCAACTACTTTTAATGGATGAAATTGTCTTACAATTTTTTTCCAAGCTGAGGGACACTCATTTCCCCCTGAGGAGGGGGTAAAATTTATGACAGTTCATATAGGAAAATTACATTTTTGAGCATTATTTGTTAATATTCTTTCAGAAATAGTCCAAACTTGGTTAGAATTATTAGTATTAAGATGGCAGTTTGATAAGATGCAAATGTTGACTTAGGCTGACCCCCAGGAGCCAATGGGCAGGCTAAAAATGGGTCAAACTGACTGAAATTCAAAGATATTCTCAATACCAAGATATGATAGAATCTATTAAATAATGTTCATGGATGGAAGAGTTTACATAGGAAATATCAATATTTTATTGTAATTTGTTTTAATTCAAACATGGTTAGAAGCCTTAGCATGGGATAGCAGTTAATGTTGTAAAGGCAGTTTACATTTGCACAATATGTGTATCCTACTCTCTGTAACAAAATCATTTCTTTGGCATGTTTCAAGGAACATTGTAACTCAGGTGACTGTTAGGCCCTTCAGGAGAGCATTTAGTTGCTGTTTGTCACTCTGTCCATCATGCTTTTGTCCGGCGCATATCACAAAGACTATAAGAGGTATCAACATGAAACTTTATAGGAAAATAGATCTGGATAAGGAGAAGTGCCTCTCTCCTTTTGTATAATTTAGGAGTTATTGAAACTTTGTGTATACATTTGTCATACTAAGAGAATGTGCAGTATACCAAATTCAGGGCCTGCAATGTTTTAATTATAGAATTATTGTCCTTTGATTAAATTTTGTGTCCAAAAAAGTTGTTTTCAGAGACCATTCATCAATTTCACTGATACTCTTGTTTTAATTTTTGATTTTATTATTTTTTACAGGTTGATATTCGGATATGAAGGTCAATCTTCAACCCTCAAATTGGTTGCAAAAGGAGGTAGGATTTTGTAAAATATTTCATTGATAACATTTAGATTAATATTCAAAATAATTAGTCTGTAGGTTTCAAGACATGTTAAATTGTAATGGTAAGTTATTGAGAGGATTTAAGAAATAACGTTGTTATGCTGGTCTACTAAGGTCAGTAAAGTTATCATGTGTTGGTTTTGCATTAGAAGTCTATTGTTTTAACAGATGGGGGAATTGAGGAGATGGCGGACGACCTGAATGGTTCAAAGATTATGTACGCTTACTGTAAGGTGATGGACCCTAACACCAACCTGCCCAAATATGTCCTCATTAACTGGGTGAGTAGGCTAGTCTACATCCTCTTAATATGATTATTATGGGGTCAAATTTTCACTGACAGTTCTTAACTCTTTGTTCGTATATCCATTTGAAATGATAAAAATAATAAGACATGTTGTGATCTTTGACATCATGTTTTTATACACACAGAGTTACATAACATGGATTGAATCCCCTTTTCTTCCTTGAAGTCTTCAACAACAACAACAACAATAATAATAACAACAACAACATTGAGTAATCACATACATTAGTTGTGTAACATGGCCTCTAACTTTAATATTTCTATTTTTTCCAGCAAGGAGAAGCAGCTCCAGAAGCTATGAAATTCAAATGTGCCAATCATGTGCGGGATGTCAGTGGCTTTCTCAAGGTATCCCAGCCTCATTCTGGTTCAGGACTTCTCAACAGTTTGGAGTAGGAATTGGAAAGCTGAAATTCAGTCTGTGGAATCTAGCATGTTATTAAATGAAAGCTATATATATGTTAGGTTCATGTCTGTAGAAACTTGAAGGTTGGACATGTGATTATAATTTTATACAGAAAATGAAGCATTAAGGGAGATAATCCTATTGAAGTAAGACAATATACTACTCTGCTAGGGAGATCTTTTTCAGTCAGGTGAGCATAAGACTAGAAAGCCAGAGGTCCCAGGTTTGAATCCTGATGGAGACAGTGAAATGAATAAAGACCTCTATTACCTTGGTGCCCATGTAGAGACTTGGGAATAATGCTAAATTTAAGGACAAGATATTTCCTGGAAGGTGGGAGATGGTGGGTGGTTTGTAACACTTGTAAATATCAGTAAAATATTTGACGCAACATATCTCTGGGCTGACAATGTTCGATTGATTAAGTTTAGCGTTTACTAACTTTGTGGTTAGTTAAAGGGGTATATACAGTGAGCTCTCCCCCAAAATTAAAAATTTATCCTTGTGGACATATCATACAACTATTTTGGTGGGGATTAACCTGTTCACTCTGGTCCACAAGTATGTATAAGATAGATTAGTCAGAGATTTTATTATGATATACTTTAAAGGATCAATGATTACAGGAAAAGGATTGTCTCTTTTTAGCCAGTTCATGTGACCATTCAAGCACGAAGCGATGATGATGTGGATGAGGACATCATTGTTGGCAAGGTTTCCAAGGCATCAGGAGCCAATTATAGTGCACACAGTGAGAAACCCAAGAAACCAGCAAAAGATGGCCCTGTGGTAAGATACTCATAACAGTATTTATACAGCAGTATTGAAACCCCCCACCTCCACCCTGTTTAACATTTAAAATTGATTCATCTGGTATCAAGGTTCATACGGCCAAATTTTGTTTGGTTTGTACAGTAGAGGTAAGTGTCGTGTGCTGAAATTAGAGTATAGTGTATCTATAAAGAGAGTTGTGACCCTATGTTCTTCAGCATTTGGAGACACTATGTATTGCATGGGTTTATGATTAATATTGATTGTGTGTACATGTTAATTTTCTTCACAATGGTCAGGGTTATACAAGAACAGCAAGCTTTTAGAGATACTGGTACATTGGACTGGTGTACATAATAATTAATTTACAATTTTGAGATACGAAAGTTTAGCCATAAATCCAAAATGAACTTTGAACACTGCAAAATTCATCTGTAAAAAACAGGATAGGGACTCCCTTTGGGAAATCAGATGGCAGCGGGAATTATAAAGAAGTTTTGTGATAAGTCAGTATAATACTGTTGTAAGCTTGTAAATCCTCTCTGTTTCAGGGCTCTGTGTACAAGAGAGTGAATATTGCTAATGAAATCAACACCAAAACTCGTGATGAATTCTGGGCTGAGGCGGAGGTGGGTTGAAAGTTATATATATATTATATATATGAAGAGACATTGGATGAACAATTTCAGTTTTAATGATTTAAAAATAGAAAATTTCCGGTTATTCTTTTTTTTTTGAGACAAAAAATACTGGTGGTTTTAATCATCTAGCAGGTTGTAATTTTGTCAAGGTCTGACTGGAGATCGAATTGGAGAGTTTTGTATAAAATGAATTTTTTGGAAGATACTTTTGTGTACAATATACAATAATAGTCCAAACTCAATTGAATGTCTCTATGGAACACCTAGGCACAAAGAGGAGCAAACACTATTGTTTGTAAAAGAGGAATATGGAACATCAGATTTCTTCTACTGAAAATTGGTAGTATCATACATTGAAAAGACATATGTTGTTGAAAAGATTTTTAAGAAATGTAATACACTGACTGTACTGTAATACACTGTACTGTAATGCACAGTTTAGCTGTTTGTTTTCAAAAGGTCAATATTTCCGCCATTTCATAGAGCATTAACACAATCCTGAAAATTTGATCTATGAAAATAATTAGATGTGTAAATATTATCTATGATGTTATAAAACTGCTATTGAAGGTGATCATCTTACCCTTACTGTCACTAACTGACTGCAACATCTCTAAATGTCTAAACTATTGCTAGGTATAGTTGTTTAGAACTGGTTATTTGTTACAAAGTAAAGAATACTTAAATTTACAAGTATAAATCAGTATTGTAAATGATATTGTCGTGGAATTTGATAAATATATAATCAATCACATATTTGTAACTCGTCTTCAGGAAAAATATCAGATAGCCATATACATCCAGATCACACAAGGTTTACGTTTTGAAATTAACTCTCATTTTATATGAAAAGCACAAAAATTTTAATTCTGTATCAACATCTTAGATAGGTCAATTGTTAATGTACCAAACAAAACCAGCAGGTTTCTCAGTCACACAAAAGTCCGTTGGATTTCACTCAAAATTAATTATGTGGACTATTTTCCAACCATGATGACACAACAATTTACTGCATACAGAAAGAGGAACAAAAACGAATCGCTGAGGAACGGAAAAAAAATCAAAGTGAAAGACATCGTGAGGTGGTGGAGAGGAAGGAAAGGGAGGTAATAGGAGTTAGAACACTTTGGCATGTGGTCTGTCGTGGTGTGGCTGTTGTTCTAACAAGAATGGCTTCTTTGTTTTGCTGTATCTAGTATTTTTATTTACTGATTCTCTCTCAGACTTTTATCTTAAATGATAACATGTATCTAACACTTGTGCCAGTTCTTCATCATTTCAGTAGTTTTGGCCATATTGAACTGTAGACTATGCTACAATACCTTGTATTCTCTCTGTAGCTTTCTGGTGTCTTGTGTTAAAGTTCTAAAATGCAAACAGCTAGAAAGAAAAGAAAAAAAAATATTGACAAACATGACTACCAGAAAAAATTTACAGGTGCATTGGTTTGGACCTATAAATTAATTTAATATTTGTTTTGTAAGTAAACAGCTATCTGGGAACTGTTGGGGTATACACGACAGATAAGGACCAGCTAATTTTCATTATGAAACCATTTTAGTAATATCCATTATGGGACAAAATTGTTCAACATATCGTTAATCAATTTTCAGTTTGACTGTTTGTGTTACAAAAATGCTGTTGAGTCAGTTTGTTTTTCTACATCATTGATATTTGATTTGATTGAATTAACACAGCATTGTTTTGTTAACTAGACATTGCCTACATACACATATGTGGACTGCACTACAAATTTGTGGTACTTTATTATCCTCCACATTCTGAAGGAAGTGGGTGTATCTCAATATTTCCTTTGAAGTCCTGTGTACAAAAGGAACATATTTTCAGATATATGTGGAAAATATCATCAGTTGTACTTGCAATGATTTTTAGATACTGAAGGACAGACACAGGTTTTAGTTTACAGCTGATGTAGATATTAGTCACTAAGAAGGACTAACACAGGTTTTGTTATACAGCTGATGTAGATATTTGTCACTATGAAGGACAGACACAGGTTTTAGTTTACAGCTGATGTAGATATTAGTCACTAAGAAGGACTAACACAGGTTTTGTTATACAGCTGATGTTGATATCAGTCACTATGAAGGACAGACACAGGCTTTAGTATACAGCTGATGTAGATATTTGTCACTATGAAGGACAGACACAGGTTTTAGTTTACAGCTGATGTAGATATTTGTCACTATGAAGGACAGACACAGGTTTTAGTTTACAGCTGATGTAGATATTTGTGACTATGAAGGACAGACACAGGTTTCAGTATACAGCTGATGTAGATATTTGTCACTATGAAGGACAGACACAGGTTTTAGTATACAGCTGATGTAGATACTGACGTAAAACTGAAGGACTGACACAGGTTTCAGTATACAGCTGATGTAGATATTTGTCACTATGAAGGACAGACACCGGTTTTAGTATACAGCTGATGTAGAGTATACAGCTGATGTAGATATTTGTGACTATGAAGGACAGACACAGGTTTTAGTATACAGCTGATGTAGAGTATACAGCTGATGTAGATATTTGTGACTATAAAGGACAGACACAGGTTTTAGTATACAGCTGATGTAGAGTATACAGCTGATGTAGATATTTGTCACTATGAAGGACAGACACAGGTTTTAGTATACAGCTGATGTAGATATTTGTGACTATGAAGGACAGACACAAGTTTCATTATTCAGCTGATGTAGATATTTGTCACTATGAAGGACAGACACAGGTTTTAGTATGCAGCTGATGTAGATATTTGTGACTATGAAGGACAGACACAGGTTTCAGTATACAGCTGATGTCACTATGAAGGACAGACACAGGTTTCAGTATACAGCTGATGTAGATATTTGTCACTATGAAGGACAGACACAGGTTTCAGTATACAGCTGATGTAGAGTATACAGCTGATGTAGATATCAGTTACTATGAAGGACTGACACAGGTTTTAGTTTACAGCTGATGTAGACATTATATATATACACAGTATTGTTCTATCTAACATATTAGTCACAACTTCATGAACTCAAACTTTCTTTAACAAAAAATCTTCCACTTGCTAGACCAAGGAATGTATTGTTTTTAGGACAGATTTGATATTTAAAATGTTTGTAGATAAAGTAAAAAATGTTGCTAGCTTTGGAGTGGTGAATGCCGGAGATGCTATATAACTGCAGTTTATTTACAGTAATATTGACTTCACGTATCAGGTATTTGCAATGTCAATTATATGGAGAAGTCACCTTTTGCCAGTACAAGAAGTAATGACATCATCGATTTTTACTGTGATGGCACATTTAATATACATTAAAGAAATATTTGTTTCCTTTAAAATTTCTGTTTCCAGTTGATAATTAGGAAACATTTTGTTGCAATCAATATCTCCTTATCCTGAAAATCTAATTTTAATTTTAATGATACAATTAAGAATTTGTGAAATGCTTTATGACAATGGTCGTAGGTTTATAAACATTTCAGATTCTTTGATTGCAGGATACCTGTATTTGGAAACAAAATTTCTCTGAAGCCTTATATCTGTCTATTGTGTTTTTGTGACTTGTTAAAATATATAAAATTTAGTTGCAAGTGCTCATTAGTATCAAATATCTACATTTCTTACATCCTTGATACTCCAGGGGTTACAATCACTTCTGCTCTCTGCATTCCCAAACATGTCATGGCAAAATCGAAGGTTCCATGTGCAACACCTTGTGGACAAGATGAAAAGTCTAGTTTAATCGTTTGATATACATCAAACAAATCTTGAGGTTATATTACAGTTTATTGTAATGAAGTTGGGTTTTTTCGTCCTTTGTAATCTTCAAAAGGAGCGTATCAGCCTGTGATTTGTCAGGGTTTTTTTTCTCCTGAAACCATTCAAATAACACCGCTTGTTCCTGCAATGTTGCCATGACATGTTCCAGGGGTGCAGAGAGCAAGAGTGATTGTAAATCAGTAGATGAAATTTGAGCATGCACAATGAAGTATATATGGTTGCCTTTGTATCTATTACTTATGATATAGGTACATCGAACATGTAGTATAGGATAGTAATGTATGCTGTGTACATGTTATAATCAAAGTAAGGTGTACAATGAAACATGTCTGTTCTAAAACCTTTGTTCTACAACATTCTGTATATGTCTGTTCTAAAACCTTTGTTCAACAACATCCTGTATATGTCTGTTCTAAAACCTTTGTTCTACAACATTCTGTATATGTCTGTTCTAAAACCTTTGTTCTACAACATCCTGTATATGTCTGTTCTAAAACCTGTGTTCTACAACATTCTGTATATGTCTGTTCTAAAACCTTTGTTCTACAACATCCTGTATATGTCTGTTCTAAAATGTCTGTTCTAAAACCTTTGTTCTACAACATCCTGTATATGTCTGTTCTAAAACCTTTGTTCTACAACATTCTGTATATGTCTGTTCTAAAACCTTTGTTCTACAACATCCTGTATATGTCTGTTCTAAAACCTGTGTCCTACAACATCCTGTATATGTCTGTTCTAAAACCTGTGTCCTACAACATCCTGTATATGTCTGTTCTAAAACCTTTGTCCTACAACATCCTATATATGTCTGTTCTAAAACCTGTGTCCTACAACATCCTGTATATGTCTGTTCTAAAACCTGTGTCTTACAACATCCTGTATATGTCTGTTCTAAAACCTGTGTTCTACAACATTCTGTATATGTCTGTTCTAAAACCTGTGTCCTACAACATCCTGTATATGTCTGTTCTAAAACCTTTGTTCTACAACATTCTGTATATGTCTGTTCTAAAACCTGTATCCTACAACATCCTGTATATGTCTGTTCTAAAACCTGTGTCCTACAACATCCTGTATATGTCTGTTCTAAAACCTGTGTTCTACAACATTCTGTATATGTCTGTTCTAAAACCTGTGTCCTACAACATCCTGTATATGTCTGTTCTAAAACCTTTGTTCTACAACATTCTGTATATGTCTGTTCTAAAACCTTTGTCCTACAACATCCTGTATATGTCTGTTCTAAAACCTTTGTTCTACAACATTCTGTATATGTCTGTTCTAAAACCTTTGTCCTACAACATCCTGTATATGTCTGTTCTAAAACCTGTGTCCTACAACATCCTGTATATGTCTGTTCTAAAACCTGTGTTCTACAACATCCTGTATATGTCTGTTCTAAAACCTTTGTTCTACAACATCCTATATATGTCTGTTCTAAAACCTGTGTCCTACAACATCCTGTATATGTCTGTTCTAAAACCTTTGTTCTACAACATTCTGTATATGTCTGTTCTAAAACCTGTATCCTACAACATCCTGTATATGTCTGTTCTAAAACCTGTGTCCTACAACATCCTGTATATGTCTGTTCTAAAACCTGTGTTCTACAACATTCTGTATGTGTCTGTTCTAAAACCTTTGTTCTACAACATTCTGTATATGTCTGTTCTAAAACCTGTGTCCTACAACATCCTGTATATGTCTGTTCTAAAACCTTTGTTCTACAACATTCTGTATATGTCTGTTCTAAAACCTGTATCCTACAACATCCTGTATATGTCTGTTCTAAAACCTTTGTTCTACAACATCCTGTATATGTCTGTTCTAAAACCTTTGTTCTACAACATTCTGTATATGTCTGTTCTAAAACCTGTGTTCTACAACATTCTGTATATGTCTATTCTAAAACCTTTGTTCTACAACATCCTGTATATGTCTGTTCTAAAACCTTTGTTCTACAACATTCTGTATATGTCTGTTCTAAAACCTGTGTTCTACAACATTCTGCATATGTCTGTTCTAAAACCTTTGTCCTACAACATTCTGTATAATCCCAATGTAACATTGTCAAGCAGTCACTACAACGACAATACATATATAAAAACCTACAGGAGTAAGAAAACATCTGATCGATGAAGGGAAAGCTTATTAAGTTCAAAATCTAGAAATGAAAAATTCCTTTTTCCTACGTATTCAGACGTTCTGTCTAAACTGACCAATATGTTTCACTGTGGTTGGATTAGACAGGTTTCATTCTACAGTGAGATTGAGATAGTTATAATCATAGAAAATATGATGAAATGTTTGGGAAATTTTCTTATCTGGATTGATAATGAAAGTACTTGATAATAAAATTGTTTGATTTGTAAATACAACCACACATATTCCAAGAGTATGAATTTTTCTTGTTTCTTCAAGCTTTCATTCCAGTCTCCTTGCATGCATATCCATGGTTCTGACTGGCAGGGTTTTGTTGATCATATCAGCTGGAACAATGATTCATTATGAATAATATTTAAAGGAACAATAGTCATAGAATATTGATTATCAGTGGTGGCTTTGTCCATCCATCTGTCTGTTATTATTTTTCCAGGATCATATCACAAGAACAATAAGAGATATCAACATGAAACTTCTTAGGTAGATAGGTCTTGATACGGAGAAGTGCGGAGTATCAGAACCATAACTCTTTTTTGCATAATTTAGGAGTTATTGCCCTTTGTTATTTCACATATTTGAATTTGTCTAAATTAGCCATTTTGGAACTAGGATTTATTTGGGGAGATTCCATCAGTTTATTATGTTACTAGCTTCATCATTGTGCTAGGTGTATGAAAAATATTACAAATTTTCTGAAAATATCTTTTAAAACTATGAATTGCTATCAGCTTTGATTGATGAGAAACTGGAAGTTGTGCACCTCTCATGTTGTTAATTTGTAATTGTTCCTATGTAGTTTCTAGTTTCAGCTGGCATGTATCTAAAGTCACTGCTTCCTTAATTATTTTTTAATCATACAGATTTTTAGAATGTGTGCTTCTATTAACATTTTCTAGTATACTCAAGCTTAAACTTGTCAGTGAATTTATAACAGAAATGTTTCTAGTGTATTGAAGGTCTTAATGTATAGGCCATGGAAAGTATTAAAAAGACACTCAGATATTAAATATGGTGCAAACATTAAATAATTGTTATGCTGTCTGAAGGGAGAGCTCATAGTAGTTTAAGTAATCCTAATTTTGAAGATATAAAAAAATTCTATCGCATGTTACAAGAAGCGTTGTAACTCAAGTCACCATTAAGGCCCTTTGGGCCTCATGTTATACTCCAAGAAGAATGTTTGTCTGTATGTCCTGTTTGTCTGTCCATCATCATTTTGTTTGGAGCATATCACAAAAACCATATAAGAGGTATCAACATGAAACTTCATAGGTAGATAGATCTTAATAAGTAGAGTGCAGTGTTTAAGATCCATAACTCTCTTACATAATTTAGTAGTTATTGAAACTTGGTGTATACACTGGTCATATTAAGAAAACTTGCATTATACCAAATTCAGGGCCTGAACATGATAAATACGTTACCTTCCAGCTGTGAAAAATTCAGTCATTTGTAAAGTAACAGATTATGACACTTAATCTCATTCTTAAGTTTTAAATTGTGAAGCATTGATGCCGAAATGTTTAGCTGCTGATATTTTGATAAAATTACATTTCAGATATTTCTGACAAAAGTATTTTTTCTGATTCTTGAAATGAAATTTCTTGATTGAATTGAAAATATACTTGTTGAAAAAAATAAGTAAACTTTGTTGAAGGTAGAATTCATTTTTATATTTTTTCCTTTTGAATTTCAAGAAAAACTGTTTATAAATATAATGCTTGAAAAAAATGTGTTTTGCCAGAAACAAGAAACAGAGAAACGTGAGGCACAGGTGCGAGAACGAATGAAGGCTATTACAGAACAGCGCAAATTGGAGCGTCGTCTAAGTCAGCAAGACTCCGAGTCTGAAAAACAACGATGGGTAGGCTATCTCTGAATTGTGTGTAGTAAACATCACTTAAATTTTGACTTTGAAATTCTGTTAATACTCTTCATTTGAAATCTTTTATTTATACATAGTTGATAATCATACCTATACCTGACACTTACCGAAGGATAGATAAAAATATCTTTGTCTGTTCATCTGTCCATTCTTCCATCCATCTGTCTGTCCAACTGTCTGTGGAAAGCTTGTTTGCAAGATATCATGCCAACCTTTTGACAGATTTAGTTCATATTCTTACTGTCAAATTCTGTGCCTGATTGGATTTTGTTTGTCAAGGATGAAGGTCAAAGGTCATCCTGAGATATAGAATTTGGAAATTTCTCAGAATGGTGTACATGGAGTAGGTAAATTAGAAATTTGCTTTATGGAATAGATACTGTGTTATCAGATTACAATGAAATTTTCGTTATGACTCTTATGTGATACACGGAGCCTGATGTTATAACTTCATGACCAAAGAAATGATATATAGTGAGATTATCAAAAATACTCTTGACTGTCAAACAAAAATAGAGATGGAGGTAAATAAGATTTTAACACAAATGTATCTTATTTCTAAAGGAAAAGGAACAGGCAGCAGCATTTCAAGAAGAAACAGAAAGAGGAAAGCGAAGCGATATATTAAGGAGGGAACGTGCAGCAGTAAGTTTTATAGATAAATATAAATAAAGCTGAACTCTGATGTAGAAATGCTGAACTTGAGACTGAAAAATAAGCTGAACTCAGAAACAGAAATGAACTGAACGTAAGACTGAAAAATAAGCTGAACTCAGAAACACAAATGAACTGAACGTAAGACTGAAAAATAAGCTGAACTTAGAAACAGAAATGAACTGAACGTAAGACTGAAAAATAAGCTGAACTCAGAAACAGAAATGAACTGAACGTAAGACTGAAAAATAAGCTGAACTCAGAAACAGAAATGAACTGAACGTAAGACTGAAAAATAAGCTGAACTCAGAAACAGAAATGAACTGAACGTAAGGCTAAAAAAATCAAAATAAAATGAACACCTACACAGAAATAAGATGAACTCCGAAACAGAAATAAGCTGAAGTTATACACAGAAATAAGCTGAAGTTATACACAGAAATAAGCTGAAGTCATACACAGAAATAAGCTTAAGTTATACACAGAAATAAGTTGAACTCAGACACAGAAATAAGCCAAAACTTAGACACAGAAACAAACTTAACATGGACACAGAAATAAGTTTAACTCAGATATTAATAAGCTAAATTCAGAAACAATATGAAACTGACCCCAATAATATTGTTTACAATTTTATCAAATCTATCACTGTTGTCTTGAAAATGTTGATACAGTGTACACTTCTTCAATGCTGTTTTTTGGGTTTTTTTTTTTTTTGGCTACTTAAGACCAAACAAAAAATTGAAAAACTGAATTTTCTGCAGTGAAATTTGAGTACATTATTCCTATTTGATGATGTATTGGCTTTTCCACAGTTATTGATATATCAACAACTTACTGGGACTGTAATTAGTGGTCTTATTGTAGCACAACACTTCAAAAAGTTCTAAAATAAGATCAATGTTAAAAATGTACAATATATAGGTAGGACATATATCTCCAATCATCTTTTACAGGAAGCATCTAAACTGACCTCCAATTCAGCCGCTAATGCAAGGGCGTTGTTCCGTAGGAAAGAATCGGAGAGTATGGATGAACCGCCATCTCCTATCAGGAGAGGGCCACCTCCCCCTCCAAAGTAAGTTTGGTCACATGAGATTCAAGGCTGTTTTGTATTTCCTCTCTGATGTGTTGCTTGTCAGTCTATTTGCTGTCCATACAACTCTGATGTTGACCATCTGAGAAGTACAGGGTAGTTCTTTCAATGTCAGATATACGATTCCTTTGTCACAAGTTGTGAATATTCTATTTCGATATTGATCTGAAAAACAAAATGGCAGATGATTAATGGCATTAGATTAGATTGCAATTTTCTATTTTTGCTGTTTCTCAGTAAGTATAGGAATTATATATATTCCCTTTAATCCTTAGTGGAAAAATAAAAAATGACAGGTTTATAATGTTAAACTTTGTTATTTATTTACCTCTTGATGTAAACAAATAAAGATAATAAAAAGGATACCAAAATGATATAAAACCAAAAAAGATCCAGGATCTGGTCGTATGTGACTGTGCTTTAGATCATATATAGTTCTGTATTCTGCACAAAAATCACTCCAGGATCTTGTCGTATGTGACTGTGCTTTAGATCATATATAGTTCTGTATTCTGCACAAAGATCACTCCAGGATCTTGTCGTATGTGACTGTGAGCCAATAATGATCATATGTAGTTGTGTACATAGATCACTCTAGGATCTTGTCGTATGTGACTGTGAGCCAATAATGATCATATGTAGTTGTGTACATAGATCACTCTAGGATCTTGTCGTATGTGGCTGTGAGCCAATAATGATCATATGTAGTTGTGTACATAGATCAATCAAGGATCTAATTAGATATTACACAATATGTTCTGTACATTGATTTTATTTTTTTGGTTTTATATGGTATTGATAGTGTTACCTTAATCCTGCAATAAGCCGAAGGAGCCATTATAAAAAATTCTAGTTCAAAGCTAGAGATGGGCTTATTATAGGACAGTGAAATTATCTGTCATTCTTCTGAGGGGTGGTAGATAGGATTGGGAAACCAGATAAATAGATGGCTACAATTCCGTTGGAGCAATAAGAGGTTTATATTGATGTTTACTTGTTTACGTCTATTTGATTAGTGATGTTGTGCTTCAGGAAACTTCGGCAGCCAGCCTTTCTTCATCAAGAACAGCAACATCACGAACCGAAAAAACCAATCATTTTGCCGACAGAAAATACTAGTGACAGCGTCTTATCTCAAGATCAGAACCAGTCAAATCACCATGTGAGGGAACCCTCCCCTCCTCCTAGGGAACCTTCCCCGCCCCCAAGAGAACCTTCCCCGCCCCCTAGAGAACCTTCCCCACCCCCAAGAGAACCATCTCCTCCCCCTAGGGAGCCTTCCCCAGAGACTCAGCAGCCAGTGATGCGGAATCCTTCACCCCAACAGCCAGTAATGAGGGACCCATCACCTCCTCCTCAAGACACACAGTTACCTAGGGGCCGTAACCTCCTTGCTGAAGGACTGCCAAAACGTCAGTACTCAGACGACGAGGAGGAGAAGGATGATGACTGGGATGATAATGGTAGGGATACATTCCTTGTATCATTAGGTTTTCAATCGGACCAACCTGATTCATGGTCGAGACTCATTTTCAAATCTTTTCAGATGTTTTTTTTTTCTAACGATGATTGTCTTTTCATGTTTTTCAAGATAGTTTTCTTAACAAGAATTCACAAACCGAAACAAAAATTCCTAAGGAAACTGATTTACTGATCATAAATATATATAACTACATACATTAATGTTTACACTTGTAATAGATGTTTGATCTCTGAAATTTCCTGTAGACCAGTTTGAAACATGTCCAAATTTCATAAAATTTGGAATCAGATATATACACTGTAATTCAACATTCAACATGTCTGTTAGATAAGAAAGATTAAAAATGAATTCATTATATTACAGAAGATAGTCCTCCTGAGGTGCCCTCAGTACATGCTGTCCAGCCTCAGTTTGAAGAAGGTGAGATTGATGCTTACCAACAACAGATGCAGGAGGAAGCTGAGGACCAAGGAGTTTGTGCACGGGCACTCTACGACTACCAAGCAGGTATGTCTGGTTTCAGATTTTAAAAAATATTTTATATGTCCAGCCATGGAATTGGGGGAAGGAGATAGCACTACCAGTGTTAATTATATCCTGCCACATCCTGTTTCTTCATCAGTGTCATATTTTGAGAAAAGACTAAGGTCATATTTACCCCATAGTATCATATTATGAGGTTCTATCCCTGATCTCGATGTCAGAACAAACAAAAACAGAAACAAAAAAAAGTTTATATTACAATCTTTACTGTTATTGGAAACATGCTTTTCACCAGAAACTGGATGGCATCAAAATTCACAATTTTTATAAATAATTTTGTAGACACATAACTTGTGGGAATTCTTTGAGTAGATGTCATGAATTTTTTAATTGTACTCAAAATATCCTTTAGATATGCTTATTTAAAAAATTGAATAACTGGATAAAAATTCCTTTATTTACAACAATTGAGAAAAAGTTATACGAACTTGTATTAATCATTCTTGTTGGTCCTGTGATGAAAGTGTGCGAGGATCCTGATGTGTTGGAAATCACTTGTACCCTCGGTAAACCATATGGTCAGACAGGTGACCACATACAGTTCCATTTTAATCAGGGAAACAAACAGTGGCCTTTTTAGGTGAAAGGCGAGTACATTAACACTGTGCCACCTGATCATCATTTGGTCATTTGGTCTGAAGCATACTGAGATGAAAAGAAATCAATTTTGTATAAATATTTGGTCTTAGTAGTGGAAATCAAGGAAATTCTCTAAAATTCTTCTTTTGTTAAAATGCCTTATTCTGTCCTGATTTTGTCTGAAGCATACCTTGTAGAAAGGAACCAATAGAGGAAATAACGTTCTTAGAAACTCCTATTTCTGTACAAGGATATTGTACATGTTTGGTCTGAAGCAATTTTTTATGAATAGGGAATCTGATTTCTGTTTAACCACAAAGCCAGGACCCAATAAAGAAATTAATTCAGAAATTATTTGTCATATTTGAAATTCTTTGATACCTGGTAAATGAATAACTAGGTGAGTTAGCCAGGTGAGCGATGCAGGCCCCTTGGGCATCTTGTTCTTACTTTCCAGATGAAATAGCTAATGTTTAAACATTAATCCTATCTGCTTCCTTTCTTACTGTAGCGGATGAGACTGAAATAACCTTTGACCCTGATGACATCATCACAAAAGTTGAACAGATTGACCCTGGATGGTGGATGGGCACGGACCCCTCAGGAAACCATGGAATGTTTCCATCAAACTATGTTGAGCTCATATAATTTTTTCAAATATCACAAGCAGTTGGAGAACAGTGTGAGCCATAGATATGTGATATTCACCTTCAAACAAAATTAAAGCTGTGCACAGAGCATTGTCAATCATACGTTTAGAAATTGGTGTTAAAGTGTTTGTGATTGAAACATTTGTTCATTGCAAAATTGGATGTATTTTTGTTTTGAAAAAGGAAGTGATGTAGACTAATTGCTTTGATAACACAGACCCTTACACGCTTGCTGTTCCATCTTAAACAGAAACACTATAGTTATGATATAGTAATGCTACGTTAATGCTATAGAAGTGTTATGGAAATTATACGATAGTATTACCCAAATGGTATGAAGTGTGATGGAAATGCTACGGATGATGCTTTGAAAACGCTAAGTTTTTTTGTAAAATACAGAATGTGTTTTGATTTGTAAGAAAGACAATACTTATACTACAGTCTACATTACTTTATCTATTTAATGTTGAGAGCCAATCAAAATAGCTTCTGGTAGATGATGGATGTAAAAAAGGAGTAATTTGTATAAATGTCAAAATGTTGCCAGAAATGACCTTTTTAAGCATTTGAACTACGTCTGAATTACAGGTCTTGCGACATCTCCAGATCCATATTCAGACTTGTTTAGTTGCTTTATTACAATACATTTTACATATCTCACATCAGGTCATTTTATTTATCGCATATAAAGTTAATTCATGGTTGAGTGAGTTTTAGTTAATAGACAAAAAAGTCAAGATGTTCCAGGGCATGTACGCTGAACAGGTACTAGACACACCTGGATTGTTTGTCTCAGATGACTGCATAAAGGTGACACCTATTTTCATAACCGACTGTTTTACACCAGAAACAAGTCTTAATTGATGTGATATAAAGCTGATGCGGTATAGGAAATGATGTTGAGTTGATCAAGATTTAGACGTATACCTGTACAGCCAGCCCTTCAAAATAGTAGACTTCAAATAAATTACTTTTTACAGATTTCGTTTTGGATATAATCAATCATAAAATAAATTATATATTTTCATAAAAAGTATGAATCGTAAAATTTTTAATCACATGTTTAATAGATGTTTTTCGAGTGGGAAGCCAAAAACGCTGCACAGTAGTAGTAAGGAAAGGGCCCCGATATGTTCTAGTAGTGGAACGGATATGCTACAGTTAAAAGTTAAAATGGAACAGAAAAACGTGGATTGATCTGTGTGATAGGAAATATGAAAATTTTGGAAATTTGGAATATTTTTTGTTGCCAAGTTATGTATGCAGAGATTAGGGGAAAATATCCTAACAACATTTTATGACTAGCTGTCTAATATTGTTATTTTGTATATGTAGCCAAACAGATGTGTTGTTATAGAAACATACTTTTAAAAGTCATCCAATCAGAAATGGTGTTATTCAAATAATTTTGGAAATTCAGAAATTTTGTAGAAGTGAATTCAGAAATGACATTTTGCAAATAGTTCAGATGTGTAATTCTGATTGTGATAAGCATTTGGATAAGATAAGTATTATTTTAATGGCTAATGTTAAATGTAAAAACTTGTTTATTTTTTACGCTGACTATTTGTCGATGGATAAACAACCCATTGTAAACAATTATTGTAAGCATAACTGGTTTGTCAGGGTTGATATTTAACAGCTGCAGGTTGTTCTATATATATCTATTTTAAATGTGAAACTTTCTTGATAATATCCGCTGTCAGCATGTTTCCATTTTAATTTGATAAAAATTAATATTGTGTGTAAAGATGAATATGGATTCTTTTATAGAAAATTGTAAAAATTATATCTTCAGCTGCTTGCGTTGTTCATGTTAGTCTATTAAGCATCTGCTCAGGAAGTGACAGGAGTAAGAAAGATTTCACACCTCAGACCAACAACGGGCTTCTACATGTATTCCCCATTCCATGTTTGCTTTTTGTGTGAACTTCACTGGTTTTCTTGCCAATGACTCCATTGTTTGCTATTTCTTTGAATAGAAAGAAATGAAAAAATTAAGAAATCTGACCTACATTTATCTCCTCTGTTTGATTATTGTAGTACTACATCAATGGTAAACTTTCTATATTCTGAGGTTGAATTCTTGCTCAACCAATGAAGGGAGAACTGTTTCCTGGATAATGATATAGCATATGTTCAGATTTCCTTAGGGAATTACAGTAGATATGGGCAGGCATAATACCAAGAGTGGGCTTTTTTTTTTTTAAATAAATATGGTATGTCAGATTCTTTAAAATCATTCTTTATACCTTAAAAAAAAAAAATCCTGCGGAAATAATTTTTTTGAAAATAATTGGTAGGTTTAAAATATATATCTCTGTAGCTGTAATTTTGGAGTTTCCATTTTCATTTGTCTTTTTCAATGCCCTACTTGTGTTGTTTATTGAAAACCTTTTTTTTTTTAAGAAAATTTAAGTTTTGTTATCATGTTGAATACTGCCCGGTTGCAGTCTGTCATTTTGTCCCCTGTTATTCTGATTTACACTGAAGACTTGTGGATTCCTCTAGGAACCACAATCGACTGAGGTTGTTCTCTTTCATTGGATTATACTATTGTTATGTTCTGTGCACTAGTTTTATACATCATCCACATTACTTTTATATAGCCAAGTCCCTTTCAACCAAAAATACAGCAGGGGAAATACATTAAAATTCTGTATCGAGACAGTAGAAATCACATTTACAAGTATTTTATTGTGTACTTAATAAAAATCTAGAAGTATTATTTTGTGAATTTGTATTTTTAATAATTTTAATTGAAATGTCTTAAATCATTGTCCATGACTAATGACTTGTTTTTTGTATACCTGGTAAAATTGTGTCTGGTTTGTAGGTTTACTTTGTAGACGATTTTCTGAAGGCTATTCCAGTAAAACATGGACTTGACCGCAGGACTTAAATCACATCTATAAATGGTTTGGTTTCCAGTCTATAACTTCTAAGAAAGAAATATAACTCTTTTGGTAGTACACCTAAACAAAACCATGAGTCCTGGGCTTAGATAGATGTTTAACTGGAATAATGTGGAGGAAAAATGTACTAAATTGTATGTGAAAGGTTTTCTTGGTTAAATGTGAAGTCTATCAGGTGAACCAATGAGCTTTGTGTCAGGTGTTTCTGGGGAGCTTTGACCTGGATTTTACCTGTAGATGTTGCCTAAAGTTTCTACTTGCCAGCTGACTTGTTTGCTGTTTCCAGCGATCTATATAACAGATCACAGGATGATGATTTAAGATAAAACTGTCTTATTCATACATATATTATCAACTCATCCATCAAACACTAGAAATTATTTAATCATTATGACAGACTACTAACACAATTTTGAAATGTTTTTGACCTCACAATTTTGATGTGGATGGGACAGTGCAACTTGTCTGTTGTATCCTGTTGAAACCTGTCCCAAATCCATATCATCTCTCTAGCAACATGATTTCTCTTAGGATTTTGATCCAAGAGAATGAATACATATACAAGGGTTAACTAAGAGACATGTTTCTGCTCAAGGGTTATAAAGTCAAGGTCACTGTTTCTATTTATAGAAATTGGTTTAATAATGACTTTTCTGCACTGGAGAAGGAGTGTTGCGTGTCTCAGATTTTTTTTATATAATGCTTGTTTATAATACAATAATTATTTGATTTTTGTTCTTATTTATAAATTTAAAAAAAAATCATAAACAAACATACAATCTCAACAGATTTCTGCAAATTGTAGATGATTATTTATTCTGATAAGATTTGAGACATCTTCATCCATTATCTTGTGTTTCAGATTGTTAAATCATCTCATGCAGAGATGAACGTTATTAGATATATGTTTATTCAAGACAGAAATTTTCAGCTTATAAAAACTTCAGTAGAAGCAGACATAAACCTAATGATGGAATTTATAATATTCAGTACACTTGTATCAATAAAATCGTATTTTTCTTCCTTACCTTATAACAAATCATAAATTAAAAAAAAAAAAAAAAAAATGGAAGTCTGCATGTTGAGTAAAGTGTCCTTTTTCATCACTTTGATATCAATTTTGGAGTCATACGTTTCTCTTTGCTCATAAAATCCCATGGTAACATGGAACATTTTTCCAAACATTAAAGAGCTCTATGTTACAGGCACAAACAGATATGAAAGCATTATCCCCCAATATTTGATGATACTGTAAATATTTGATAGTGGTCAGAGGTTGAACTGTCGCAAATAGAACATTGTCAAAACCATCTGCATTTGAATATGTTATATAAATCTATTCATGTTTTCTCTCATGCTCACACTTGAAAACTTCATAAAAAATATATGATTTGTTAAATTTTTTATTTGTTTGAGTAGCAGTAACTGTGTTGATGTACGTAGGCTTCAATTGTTTGCGGCATCTGTGTCATATCTATTTATAGGAAAACTATTATATATAATTATATTATGTTAATTGTGTTTTTGTCTTGGTTGTTAGCTTCATAGCGTTTCATTTAGATTAAGATTTTATATATAATAGGATTTTGTTATTTTCTTTGAAAAATGATAAACTGTCAGAATATAGATAAGTCATACTTGGTATATAAATTGGTTTTATAAACAATCTGCAATTGAGAAGAATGGTTGAATGAAGAAAAACGTTGAAAGATATTGGAAAAAATTTATCTTTTTTTTTCATAGAATTATTTCTGTAGGAAATTTTATAATTTCTAAAGTCTATGAAACAGATTATAGTCAATACATAATAAGCATTACATACATATTCTACATTCCAATAAAAACTTGTGATTTCTCATCTTGATTGATTGATTTCATTTACTATATTGGAGTAAAAATTTCTTGGTACATTTACAAGAATAATTGAAATTTTGTGAAGAATGGAAGTTGCTCAACGCCCTTGCCAGTGGCAACCAAGGGACGAGAATCACCGGATCACATTGATCATATCTGTTTGTTTAAAAGATATTTACTCAGTATTTATTTGAACATCATGGAAAACAATGAAAATGATAGATTTATAAAACAAAATTAGATTCTAAGGAAATATAAGATTTCAACAATCATACAAGTGTAAGATATTCTACAGGAAAAAAATTTGTAAATCACTGTTTCTTCGGGGTTTTTTTATCTATGCAAACTTTCTTTAGTTCAGCGCATGCTACATATATGGTATTTCATTATTATATTCTATAACGGTCAGACCGTAAAAATAGTATTATTATTGTTGTGTTGTCCGATTTGAAAAATTTGGTATATATTATGAATGTTTTTAAAAACATAATTCTTCTTCTCTTTATGGGTAATGGCTCAATATCAAAAAGTGCTTGTTTTTCTGTTTTAGGGTGAGGATTTCAGAATTTGCCAATGCTGTCTCTGTTTGGTTCTTCACCAATTTGCACTAGTCTGTATGGTTGTTAAACAAGATGAAAATATCATCAATGGTATATAGTTTTGCCCTGCTTGGATTCCCATGCTTAACTTTATATAAATGGATTGATGAAATGTATTATTATAAATATATCAGTTTTACACTGTGGAATCGAACAATATTTGTAGATTTTCTGACAGTCTCCTCAACTATATAGAGGTATCATGTTTACAGGTATATTATTGCTAATATGATTTACTGAGAAATAATAAATAGCTTCCTTCAAAGGATTCTAGAAACATCAATAATATTTGTTGTATTTTTCTGCTCAAGACGACCAATCACCATCATCTGACCCATTACCTTTGAACACTTTGTAATCTGACCACTGACACTTGACCTCTAACCCCTTTTTGATTTGACTGCCGACATTTTACCTTTGAATGCTGTGTACTCTGACCTCATACCTTTGACCTTTAAACATGGGGTCTGATCTTTGACCCTTGACCTATTGATACTGCTCTGACCTTTGACACTTGACCTATAAACACAATGTTAAAAAACCATTAGGCCTAGACCTTATAAAGGAAAATCTGAGGAAAATTTCATTCAGTTTTCCTCGGGCTGAAAAGTATGAAACTAAAGACAACATAACAACTTTAATATTAAATGATTTATTTGCAATAAAACGATCATGTAAAATATCATTCATATCATATCAGGAATATATTTAACAGCATCAGAGTGTATATATTTGAATTGAATATTGAGGATTTTTATTTTTATAAAATTTGACCAAAAACATTTACAATTTGTAAAATTTTACCAAAACTAATATTTGCTGAAATGTTTGCCTCTATTGAGTTCGATGAATTTTCAACAGAATTGTAACTCTCCATCTGCCTTGAAGAATTATCTGAACCTAGATTTCAAAATACAAAAGTTCAACCATCAATAAAACAATCTTTTCCACACCATGGGAAAATGTCACGACAAAGTAGAACATTCTTTTTGTGTCACTTAGTGGGCGATATGTTTAGGATTTTCATGCTCCAGCTATTTTGTAGGCTGCAGCAAGTCTTAAAATATCTATCCTAAATTTCTGTCACTAAACCACTTAATTTCTTCAGGTTTCAAATAGACTTTATTTTGTTCCCCGTAGGAGGGGGGCATGTCGCCACTTTTTTTGTCTTTCTGTTCATTTTTGTTTGTTAATTTGTCTGTCCATCTGTCATTATTTTGTCTGGACAGTGAAAGGTAACAACATGAAACTTCATAGGTAGATAGATCTCTATAAAGAAAAGTGCAGTGTTCAAGAACCTTAACTCTCTTTTGTATAATTTAGGAGTTATTGCCCTATTTGTTATTTTTCATACTTAAATTTTGTCAAAATTAGCTCTTTTGGAACTAGTGTTCCAATGTTTATCAAGGCCTAATGCAGCAAGAAGATAACATTTACCTACTTCATTGTCTCTGAAATCTTTATTGGACATCATGGCGATTTGTCAGTTTCATTGTTTGGAATCAGACAAAATTTACTTCAACCAAGGGGCCTCAAATCTGCCATGACAAATTCCAAAAAGCATGGATAAGATATTGTATGTTGAGGATGAAAACCCTTGGATTTTGAAGGTGTGTTCCACCTCTGTATTGCAAATCTTGTATTTAATAGTCACCAGGCATGAATACTCATTGATTTGTGTCAAGTCCATTTCTGATAAGTAAGTACTTGTAATGTGAACACTGATTTGAAACATCAATATTATTTCAATAAACTTAACTGATTTAGGCTCATTAAGTGATGTTCTTGACAAGCAAACAAAAATTTATAACAATTTGTAAACAATTCACTTCAGACAGAAATAAAAAAAGTCACCACACATGTTTTACACAAGCACCGGGGCGAACACAAAAATTCTGGCTCTGAGGGTGGGCTTATCAGAGGGTGAACAAAAAAGCACTTGTTAGTTATCAATAGTGATATGCATTGGTGGGTTAAGGACACAACAACTAATATTTAAAACAAAAGCCAAAATGGACAACATGAAGTAACATGGATATTTCAGGAATGTTAAGACATAAACATGGTATTTACATTAATATTGGAGTACAATTAAGATAACATATATTTGAAATCTATTTATCTATGAAAATATTTGTTTTATTGGCATTTATATCAGAACTGTATTTACAGTGATAAAAATTACAACAAACAGATAACAACTTTTTCTAAACATGAAACAATAACTCATGACAGTACTATTGTTATATATATATTATATGTATGCTTATATTGTTGGAAAATATACATTTCAAAACATTAATTATCATCAATATCAGATATCATAATCAGTGGCATTTTAACATACATACACTTTATCAGGTTAGTGATCCGAAGAGCTTCAGGATGTACCAGTTAGTAAAACAGTTAGTATACAATAATGATATCAATTGTTTTGACGAAACATAAGGCTTATTTCTGAGCAATCAAAAAAATATATATTTGCTTTAAAAGTCAAATTAACATTAGGCCACTCAACTCAAATACTCTGATATTTTACTGACAATCTAATTATTAGAAAGAAATTCTAACAAAATAAAATAAATGTGAGGAAATTAAACCATTATTTTTACAAAAATGGATATTTTTCAACTGATATATCAGATTGAAAACCCTAAATGAATTCAGCTTAATACCAGAAATGAATGAATGAATGAATGAATGAAAAGTGAATGACCTTGACCCACTTTCAAGGTCACAGGGCTAAATTATGTTGAAATCTTCAAGTAACTTCTCAATAACCGAAAGGCCCAGAGGTCTGATATTGGGCCTGTAGCATGGCAGTATGAAGGACTACCAAGTTTGTTTAAGTGAGAACATTGTCTCACATTCAAGGTCACAAGGGTTAAAAAAAAGGTTGGAATTTTGTTGTCAAGAAGGTTCAATGTTTTGAAAACTTCAGTGTAGGGCCCTAAGAGTTGGATTTGTTAAAATTTCTGCACTGTCCTTAAATTCGACACTTGCAACGAACAATACTCTGCAGGCTTTAATCTGTATGCTAGTACTGGATAAGGTAGTTCTGTTAAGTTTGTGCTTGTCATTTGGTAAAAACAAAAAAAAATCACCTCAGGTTAAATTGTGTTGTCACAGCTAGGTTTAAGTGATGCTATGCTGACAAATGGGGCAAAATGAAAAGTGATTTGCTAAGTTTCGTACCATTGATACATTACTGTTAGACACAACTATCAAGTGAACAGTTAACGAGTTATGTCACCTGGAATCCCATATCTAAATGTGGCCCGTTTATTACTAAAGGTAATATTAACAACTGTATGATAATTCAAAAGGAATGATTTAAATTCAAACCAAGTTGCGGAGACCTTCTAACTAGATATGATACAAAAATTGCCTGTGTACAATTTACAGAGGGTTTGCACCTTATGAGACATCAGACTGATTTACCACCTGGTTGGTACTGAGGCTGAGGTCCGTATCAAAAGTACTAAGTTAGAAGGACAATTATCTCAACAACGTACAATGTTTAACATGAACAAATTATATGACCATTAAAAATATCTCATAAAATTTGCATATTATCAAACATTAACAATGATGCAATGGAATATGGTGATCCTGTGGAACATGTGATGTTATGAACACAGAATATGTATCACGAGGGAGGCATAATCATCCCATCCACTTCCTGATATACATTCATACCAACTATTTTTGTCAATAATTGTATTTAAATTTCTAAGACACATATTTTGCAAAAGGCACTTGATAGTACAGCTTTCCAATTTTCATCGGAGTTTGTCTAAACATAATCAAAATTTTTAATTTTAGTGAAAATGGTGACCAATATCAGTCTAGTTCCATATAAACAGACACAAATACTGTCTTGAAACCATCTCCCAGAAATACTGTCTGGAAACCATCTCCCAGAAATACTGTCTGGAAACCTTCTCCCAGAAATACTGTCTGGAAACCTTCTCCCAGAAATACTGTCTGGAAAACACCTCCCAGAAATACTGTCTGGAAATCTTCTCCCAGAAATACTGTCTGGAAACCTTCTCCCAGAAATACTGTCTGGAAACCCTCTCCCAGAAATACTGTCTGGAAACCTTCTCCCAGAAATACTGTCTGGAAATCTTCTCCCAGAAATACTGTCTGGAAATCTTCTCCCAGAAATATTGCCTGTAAAACTTTCAGGATACATCATTCAGTTTCACAAACACGGTATTGTATAATCCGGTCTTTTCACCAAAGAATAAGTTTGCTTTGTCACTGGAGGAATAAGTTTGCAACATCCACAACTTATCTGTCAAGTGCCTTTGTTCATATATATCACAATAAGTATCCGAGGTCCCTCAATTTATTTACAGGTATGTAATTAAACTGTCTCAACAGTAGACGTTCCAGGCGTTTCTGAGCTCTGCGTCCTCCGGTCAAGTGGAATGAGGCCAGTTCTTTCCCCTGGGGAAGGCAAGGACTGGACGGGAGCCTTACACATGGGACAGGCATTCTGATATCGTAGCCACTCCAGTAGGCACCTGTCAATAGTCACACATTTGAATTTGTCCAGGAGTATATGCATCCTTGATACTCCAAGAGTTAAGATCACCTTTTTTTCTCTGCACCTTGGAACATGTCTAGCAAAACTGATGACACGAGCAAAGTAATTTGATTGGTTACAGGAGAAAAAAACTGACCAATCACAGGCTGATATGCTTCTTTTGAAGATAACAAAGTTTACGACATGCAACTTCAAAGTCATTACAACATACGGTTACGCAACCTTGAGATTCAACTGATACATATCCAAAGGTCAAACTAGTCTTTTCATCTCATCCACAGGGTGTTGCACAGGGAACCTTCAATTGGCTATGACATGTTCCAGGAGTGCTGAGAGTAAAAGTGATTATAACCTCTGGAGTATCGAGGACTGAGTATATCAGAAAATATCCTCAACCTCTGGAGTATCGAGGACTGAGTATATCAGAAAATATCCTCAACCTCTGGAGTATCGAGGATTGAGTATATCAGAAAATATCCTCAACCTCTGAGTATCGAGGATTGAGTATATCAGAAAATATCCTCAACCTCTGGAGTATCGAGGACTGAGTATATCAGAAAATATCCTCAACCTCTGGAGTATCGAGGACTGAGTATATCAGAAAATATCCTCAACCTCGAGGAAAATATCCTCAACCTCTGAGTATATCAGAAAATATCCTCAACCTCTGGAGTATCGAGGACTGAGTATATCAGAAAATATCCTCAACCTCTGGAGTATCGAGGATTGAGTATATCAGAAAATATCCTCAATCCATTATCATTTTTTTATATTCTTGATATTTCCACAGGGAATGCAGACGTAACTTTTAACATACGTTTATTTGTTGTTATCATTCAATACAAAACCAAACTTCAAACTACAAATAAGTAGGTAGATAAAGAATTGCAGCAAGTTTAGGCAGAAAACAGAATCATAGGGTGATATTTTGAACAGAATCTTCATCTTAATTCAAGTATACAATGAGGTCAGATTCTTCATTTAGGACTAGAAAAATGTAAATGATACAACTTCTTACCACAACCTCAACCCCAGTAAAAAAAATTATTATTTTATGAAATCATGCAATCATTTTCAATATTTGTAATCATTTCACTTGTATATAAAGTATAACACTATTTCAAGAATACCTGTACATTGTTTTCTAATACTAATGATGCAGACAAACCAAACATTTTTTCTGATAAAATTTACTGATGAAATTTACTGATAAAATTTACTGATAACTGAATGCACCAAAAACAAATATGTGTCACTCAAAATTTGAAATTATCAAAAATGAAATAATGATGTGATCCTATTGAAATACAGACATACATGTCTGTTTAGTATTCAGTATTACAGATGGACTTTGGTACTCTTTGTCTTCATTATCAGAAAAACAATTCCATACCAAACAGTAAGCAGGTTGGCGATAGAATGGTTTGGAAAAGTTGCCAATATCAAAATAATTTAAAAATTTCAGTTTACATAAGTTAATATTTACAATGAATTACTTACTTCATATGGAAGCAGTGGTTGCACGGACATATGGCCACATATTCTGACTGTTCAAACTCCTCGATACACACAGGACAAGTCTGGTTAACATAAAACATAGCATCAGGTACAATTTCATATAATATCTTCATTTTCTTTAAAACTGTTTAATTCATTAAGTTATTTTATATAGCTCATTTGTTCAAGCATCATAGTTTAAAACCTGCAATGTAGATGTGAGGCGTGATTAAATTTTGCAACAGTGTCAGTGTTTTATAGATGAGAAATGGGACCCTCCTGTGCTGAAATGGTTGTGTTCTTTGGCAAGAAAATTAACCATAATAACCAAATTGCTTGACTAACATGCTAAGGGCCTCTTGCATGTTGTTCAAAGAGATAGCCACCAGCTGTTAAAAGGAGACTCAGCCTAAATATGGCCATGGTTGTTCACAGGGTGATAATTACCAGACAAACTAATAAAAAAAAAAAACCTTACATGTAAAACACACATACTTACATCATTTGGAAGTTTCCTCTTTTTGCCCGTCTTAAATTTTATCTAAAACATAAGAACGCAAAGAATTTTTTTCTTACTATTAATTCAATAAATAAAATTATATAAATAATATAAATTCTCATATTATTTTGAATTTGTGATAAGTCACAGGTACACAACTTTTTACTACAGATTATTAGGTAAAATTGTAAAAGTATTTAACCTTTGACTTAGAGGTGACCCAATTAATTAATACATATTTTAGAGCACTGAACAGGTATAACTGTAAACATATACATTTTAGTGTACTGAACAGATATTAACTGTAAACATACATGTTTTAGTGGAAATCTTATATAATGTAATGTAAATGTAATGTAATAAGCCCAACCCTTGACTCTGAGTCTGAGGTAGAGGTAACATGTTAGTCCCAATGGCATACTGCGAAAGTAATACAGTAAGATGCTGACTCAACAAAATCTCATCTGGAGGAGAAAATGTCTTCCTTTTCATGGAATCTCCTATTTTTTTATGTATAGTTGGAAATTCTATCAAACAGCCTTGATTGTATTACCAGTACCATTACACATGTCCATGCAATGCACATGCTACAGACGTGATATTGGTGCAGTATGTTGTACTTACTCTTCTATAACCTTGTTCCTGACGAGCCTTACATCGCAATCTGTCAAACAAGAATGCTGTTCTAAATAGTGTCTTTCTTATATTACATAACTTACCACTAATAGAAACAAAAAAAGATATTAAATGCTTAAAAAATCAATTTTAAATCTATCTCTCATGTAATTCAAAAGAATTCGGTTTTGTGATATTAATCAGTATTAAAACAAAAAAAAAGTATTATCCACAAAAATAAAGGCTATTTATAGCTTGCCAAATGTCCATGACCAGGAAGCTAATTACAAACAGAGGTGTGAGTTCTAGACTGTAACTTCTCTTGTAGAACCATGCACCATAAGTTGATATTTTTTTTGTTAATCTGATGCAAGTCTCATCAATTTTAGAAAAATGACATATTTGGGATGAAAAAAGTCATTTTATTTCAGCAAAAACTCCCAATACATAACCTGCTTAAACTTAAGAGAATATATCACAATGTTAATAATAAACAATTTGGTTTGAAAGGTTAAGTTGTTATTAAAATGATATTTCACATCAAAAAAAAAAAAAAATTACTGACAGTGAAACTTGATGGACCAACAAACATCAAGGTCATTGAAAAGTCCACTATTTTATTGATCAAATCAAAACAACACCCTATATATATATGACGTTTTTGGTCAAAACAAGTCTTGAATTTTATTGGACCAAACAAAGAACCAGTAAATTACCTATACAATGATAACCTGTATTTATGATTTTGAAGCACAGCCTAAATACCTTCCTAAACTGACATCTAGATAAACAGGACAACCTGTCTATTAAGGATAGCAAATACAAAAAAAAACTATCCTAAAGTCGCATTCAAAAGTACTTGTAGTTTTTACATCATAGTTGCAAGAATATTAAAAAAAAAAAAAAAAAAAAAGACAAACAAGTGGCCCAATGGGCCTACATTGCTCACCTGGTATTCAATGTTTGTAAACAATAGAATCGGTGTTCATATCACCAAAATATTGACATATAAACCGTTGGCAATCAAAGTGGGTACATGAAATTCACAATTTAGGTAAAGCACTTTAAGATGCTTCCATTCGTGAAGAGTATTTGATTCTACCATAATTGGGTCTTGGAAAAAGATTTTTCAAATCTGAGTCAATTTAATCCCTTTTGGCCCGGCCCCTCAAGCCCCAGGGGATGGGGACTGTATAATTCAAAAATTTGGTTCATCTTAGGCCAGGGAAGGTTTCTGTAAAATTTCATTGAAATCAGATCAGGGGTTTTTGAGAAGCAGTAGGAAATGACAAAATGTTTACGGACACACGACAAAATGCCAGATGAAGGGTTTTAGACTTAGTCACCTTAGACTTTGTTATACCTAAAAATTGTATCCCTGTGACCTTCAATAAGGGTCAAGGTCATTTCCTGTATGCAATTGTTGTCAGTCACATTCTAGGAACCTATTAGCCAAATACCATGCCTCTGTGCCTTTTGGTTTGACAGAAGATGTTATCTTAATAATTATAACTAGTTCCACAACTGTGACCTTGAGTAAGGGTCAAGGTCATTTCTTTTCGCAAATTTTGTCTAGCTTCATCCCAGCAATCCACAACCTAAATAAATACCATGACATTTGGTGAGGTGGTTATTGAGAAGAAGTTGTTGATGGAAAAGTTGATGACGGACAGGCACATGGATGGACGTAAAATGAATGATATGGCCAATAGGCCTGCATCACTCACTTGGTATTCAATGTTCATCAAATATAGAATTAGTGTTTATCACAAAATATATTAACATGTATACTATAGGCATTCAAAGTGGGCACATCAAATCAATTTTCAACAATTGCCACCACAAACAGCTTTTAAGACTCAACTCTGAATAGTGACCGTTATGACCTTAATTACGGGTAAATTGCTTTTTTTTTCAAAATTTGTTGGCTTTGGCATAGAACCATCTTTCCACCAGAAGAAGTCTTTTACAGGTTTTGACAATGTGACCTGGCATAAGGGTCAAGGTCATTTCTTTTCGCAAACTTTGTCAGGCTTCATCCCAGCTACCCACCAACCAAATACCATGATATTTGGCATTTTGGTTATTGAGGCTAGATGGACAGATGGACCTTGGGCCTGGTAACTTAAAACACTAAATATTCTCATTTCTTGGCTGAAAGTTATTACCACAACTATCATAACTACAGACCTCCACATGTAACAACAGAAGGTGAGGCTGAGGAGAAGAGATAGCAGTCCAATCCCCAGCAACGGTAGTGAAATGTTGAAAGGAACGTCACTACCCTTCATATCTCTGGTGTCTTCCCCATAGTGTCTGTAAAAAAAAATCAAACCAGTGCTAATAATGGGTTATATCAAAAAGGTGACACATGTATCAGAAATATTATATTTGTCTGTGACTGGGAAAATCCCTCTATAAAAAGATGACAGTTGTGTCAAAAATATTTTGTCAATACAATCGTGGACGTCTTCCAGTCGCAAGGCATTAGTTGTGTAAGAAATATTACATTTGTCTTTGACAGGGACATCAATGAGTGACAAGTTGAAAATCGTATCAAAATATTTCCTCAGTATACCACTTAGGCTGCCCTTGGTATTGCAGTTGTTTCAGAAATATTCAGTAAGTATATGACATGGGACATCCTTGTGTCATGACAAGTTGTGTCAGAAGTATTACATTATTATATAACAGGGGACGTCCTTGTGTCGTAAGGTGATAGTACTAGTTGTGTAAAAAAAAAATGACTTGAGTGTATACACAACTGGTGATGTGTGGTTTCCACAGAGCTATCAGGTACAATGAAGCAGAAAGGTGACACTCTGGCAATGGTGGGAAGATGGACTACAATGCATGCACTCTTTCAATCTTGTCGTTACCTGGGTTGAAATTAACTGTTGAACCAACCCAGGTGCTGGGAACTTTTACTCGACCTAGCCTGTGAGATGATTTTTATCAAACTGATGTTTTAATTAAATCTCACCTAATTAAAGTGTTGATCTGGTTTTATCAAAGTTCAATCACTACGAGTGAAATTGATTGGATTTTATTAAGATCTACGGTAATAGTAGTAGGCACACTAATCCCCATCCCCTCCCCCTCCTAAATGTATGTATACAGGGTGTAAATGTATGTATGTAGATTGTGTGGGTTTGTGGGAGGCTGCAATACTTGTGGCAGGCTGCAATACTTGTGGGAGGCTGCAATACTTGTGGCAGGGTGTGATTTTTTTCTTGCAAAATTCAAACCTCTAAATATATAAAACTTCTCTTGTATATATATTTTTCCTCCGTAACCGAATTTAATTTACCTACTACATATATGTATTGACCAATCAAATTCTGTCTAAGAAAAAGTCTGAGATTAAGTATTCCTGTGGGTGTGGAAGATGGCACTTTTTCTTAGTTTTCCTGGAAGGCGAATTATGAACGTAGTCTGGTCATTTTATGCTTTAAACTTAAATTAAATGCAACAAAGTGATAAGATAGTTTTGAAAATTTGTGTATGAATGCTAATTAATGAAATTCAAACAAATGATTCTGCAGTTTGAGTGAAATTGTATACTTGCTCCGCGCGACGGCCCGCCAGGTTTCCATTGTACATCCGTCTACCTGCTGTAACCATCGACAGGTGTTTTAAAATGATGAGATGTCAAAAACTATCCACAGAATTGATTCAAATAGATTCATCGGTCATATTCGTGTACTTGGCTGGTAATACTGTAAGCGACCGAGTTTAGACACTACGCAAGTAAACAATGTTATGAAATAAACAGAACTACGCCGTACACTTAGCTCATCTCCCCGTCGACTTGGACCAGATTCTAGAAGCAGGCATCGTCCTTACTCGTCAGGTCATGTCGGTTGAGTCGTTAGAAACATTTCGGTGTATTGTGATAGTCGGTTGAGAAGTAGAGGTCTCGTCAGCAATGCACGTACGTATATACACACACAGTGAGAATAACTCAGATCAGCTGACGGACGAGTGTACATACACATTTTCACAGTATGTCTATTTATAGCACTGACCTACTTTTACCGCGGTTGGAAAGAGTTTCTACAAATCAAGCAATGGACAACCTTTTGGGCACACCCGTCCATAATTCACCACCTCATAGCCTCCAACCCTGCTCTTAAAAATGGACATTTTTCTTTATATGAAGTTAAAATTTGAAGAAGACACTGTCATCGTATAGAGACCACAGGAGTCTGACGTTCTGTTAAATATGACGGGTAACTAGAATTATTCGATACTTAGTTTTGACCAGGGACGTATAACACGTCCCTGATTTTGACGCCCCGACAGAACGATAATTATCGTCTATTCGCCCTCGCTAATTATCGTCATTTCGCAGACAGATTGTGATTTTATCTTAGAATGTATGTCTACATTTACACGAGATTGTTGGAAGCCGATAAACACTTTTACAAGTTTCTTTACCAAATCATCTAATATATCTACATCGATACATACTGAAAAGCAGATGTTTTTGATAGTAAGTATAAGTCAGTCTAGCATTGATGATTCTAATGTCACATGACCGGATAATAGAATCACAGAGGAGTCTTTATCGTCCGAGTTGGACATTCTCATACGGGCCACCATTTAAAGTCCCATCCAACGGACTCTACGTTGCAACATGCAGTTTAGGGCATGGTGTCCCTGCCTTGAATCATATAAGTATATCAATGGGATGTTGTCTGACAAAATATCCCAGTGGTTGTGCAAGTATTGTGTCAAGTTTAGATAATCAGAAGTGGAGCACTACTGTGTCCCTTACAGTACCCTTGCCGAGTCTCCATTCTCCATTCAGTTATTATAACCCGTGCAATATTGTGTTTGAATGTAATGTGGAGTTTTGTTTTAGTGTACAGTTTCAGCAGCAAGCATTACGCTCGGAACCCCCGGGGCATTAGCTGTAAGCCATAAACTATTTTCACAGTGTATATGCAGGGGATGGGGCACAGAAGAGGACACATCATGCCTCCTGAAGTGTCAATATACACCAATTTATGAGAGGATCAATATTAATCCTCCCTGGTACAGTCTCCCTGGGTATCCTGGGAATCATATTTAATTCCTTATACAGTTCTGTCTTAGTTGTTAGATGTTTGGGACAGAAGAAAAACACGTGATCAATTGTTTCCACATTATTACAAAGCTCACAATTTGGTGATACGTGTTTCATCATAATATTAATGTTCGATTTCAATTTTGTTTTGCCTTATCTTAATCTTGTGATAATTTTGTCATCTGAATTACTGTGGCAGTATAATTTTGTCTTTGTAATAGTTTTTTTTTTATTTGTCACATGTTGTTTGAATTATTCTGGCCTCTCCAAATTTTATCCCATTTTTTATGTTATTTTTTATTGATCAGCACAAAGTCTTCTGTTTTGGTAATTTTGACATCATTGTCAGCCATGTTATGATTTAGCGCTTTCTTTGCTTGTCAGCTCTTTCGTTACCGTGAATATCAACTTAAGATTGGACATATACTTTTTCTACCGCGATACCTTGTTCATCTAATAATTGTAGGGAACGTAAAATCAAATTTAGCGTGGCTGGTCTTGGTATATTTTGGTGTCTAGAATGAAGTGTCAAAAGTCTATCTTTGAGGATGCCCTGTTTGGTTTGATTTGTACTTCATAACGCTGACTATATCTACATTATCACTAGACTAAACAGCGATTGTCCGACATTCTGATTAATACGTTTATATTGTTATCAGGGGAAAAAAACTCGTAGACCTACTCTACCTGTTGGAATTTTAGATCCGTCAGTGCAATATTCAACACAATAACTGGGGTTGTGTTCTATGCTTGCCATGGTCTTTATTTCTGCTCCTGTTGGCTTCGTTTTTTGTTGGAAGCGTTAAAACATGCGTAACAAATCTGGGGTTTACCGCGAAACCAAGGCGGTAAGTGGTTTTGAAACTTTGCGTCTATTTGAACATTGTGTATATCAAACTCCTTTAGTAAATTAACTAACCGATGATCGGAAGCAGGTTTCTTGTGTTGTTTTAATTTGTCTCTATAAACTGATTTCTTGGATTTTTTTCATCAATTTGTTAGGTTAAAAATTTGGTCCTAATGTTTCCGTCCTAGTCCAATATTTGAGAGTCAGTTTTTCTCTTCTTTTTAGGGGCAGTTCGTCCGATTCTGCCAATAGGGTAACTGACGGTGTTTTTACAATAGATCCTAATACAACTTGAAGTGCCTTGTGTTGAATTACATCAACATATCGAGTACATGATCTGAGGCCGAATTGTACACTTGACATCCGTAATCTATTTTGAATCCTATTAGCGTGCTTAATATACTAAGTAATGTATTTATTTGATCCAAGATTGCTACCCAAAACTAAAGTAAGCGCATTGTGTTCTAATGTGAGGTTTCCAGGAGAGTTTAGGGTCCAAAATCACGTTAAGGTATTTGACTTGATTTACATACTCAGGGCGCTTATCGTCTAGAAATATATCTGTTTTTTAAGTCTTCTAGAGGATTTTTTTTCCCTGTGAATTTTTAAAACCAACTTTCAGTAGCCCAAAATTTAATTATATCATTTTTTTTTGTATGGCGTAACCGTTGTTTGTGCTCCAAATATACTGGTATCGTCAGCAAATGGTGCCATATTAGCTCATTTGTTTGTTTTTGAATACTCTTGTGGAATTTGGTCAAGTTTATTCTTGAATATATCAAATAGTCTGGACGAGATGACACTACCTCGAGGGACTCCATTATCTAGTGTTTTTTCCTCTGTCTTGAATTTTCCTATCTTTTTAAAATTCAGTGATAAATCTTACTAGAGATACCCATCTCCTTAAGTGATAGTAGAAGTCTTTCATACAAGACTAGATTGTAAGCTTTTTCGAGGCCTAGAAATACAGCCATAACGTGGTGGTTTTTTGCTAGGCGCGTTTTTAACCTCTGACGTAATTCTAAAAAGGAAGTCGAGTGGCGACCTGTTGTTCCTCAAGTCGCTTGGATTTTTATCGATTATGTTGTGTTTTTCTAAGTTGTGTTTTAGTCTGCTGTTTATCATTGTTTTCTTTTGCTTTACAAAGGTTCTAGGTCCACGCATTAAGTCCGTAGGATGTTGGTATTTCTCAAACTTTACCAGGTTTGTGAATAACAGTGTGTATTAAGGAACCCGATTTCCATCTTGTGTTGACCAGTTCTAGAATGATATCATTAACGTTATTCGGACAAAGTTTAAGATAGATGATCTATGCCGAGGGAAGTAATTTATTTTAGAATTGAGAGCTCTTAAATATTCCTGTTTGGAAATGGACTGATTAAACTTTTCTTAACAAGAATCTTTATTTATGTTTCTGATGTTGTCTGTGTTTTTTGTTTTATTTTCTAAAAAAATTATTGCAGTTCTTAAAACTACGTACCTTTTGAAATAGTTTGACAAAAATAGCTGCCTTTTCACTACTAGTTTTCCCCTCTGCATTTTTTCTTAGACCAGGCATTTCTTTAGGGGGATGCCTTATGTGGCCCTAACTTTATTCCATGCCGTTTTTTTATTTGTTTTAATGCTACATCACCAACACCTCAAGACCACAGCCCCAATACTACATCCTCAATACCACATTCTAAAGATTGCAACCTTATCACCATATCTCAGATCTACAGCATCAACACCACGGCCTCAATACTACATCACACCACATCCTCAACATCGCAACCTCATCACCCCATCCTTAACATCACAACCTCAAACAAAACAACATCAATTCTACGTCCTCAACCTCAGTATCACAACTTAAACACCACATCCTCAACATAACATCCTAGGAAGAGGCCCATAGGGCCTGCATCACTCAACTGGCTTTCAAAGTATCCAAGCATACAACACAAAAATACCTATTTTCCTATCAGATCCCAACCCTCCGCCCTTTGGAGGTCCGACAAACCATTCATACTTCAGACAAAATTAGAAGAAAGATTTTAATAATTTGCTCAATTTTCCCTATTGGAGTCCTATACCTCCTGTCCCAGGGGCCGAGGCCAACTGTTAACACAAAATTGATTTAGCTTCACTCAAGAATGCTTCAGACCAAATTTAGGTGAAATCCAATCACTCCTGCAGGAGGATAATATTTTAAGGAACACACCCTATTTCCCTATTGGACAATCCCTCCCACCCCATGGGGCAGACTCACCATTTATGCAAAATTGATCACGCTTCACCCAAGAATGCTTCAGACTTAATTGGGACAAATTCCAATCATTTCTACAAGAGGAGTTAGAATGTAAAGAACTTGCTCTATTTCCCCTATTGGGCCTCGCCCCTCCCGCCCCTTCCGTCCCATGGGGCCGAAACACTGTTTAGACAAAAAATGATTACTCTTCACCTAAGAATGCTTCAGACTAAATTTGGTCAAAATCCAATCATTCCTACAGGGGGAGTAGGACTTTAAAAAAAACTGCTTTTGAATCTTGTCCCTTAGCGACCCACCATTTATACAAAATTTGCCTCTGACAAAATTTGGTCAAAATCCGCTCAGTCTTTCATGCTTAATAACGATTTGTAGAAAAAAAAAAGTTGACGGACAAATGGCTCAGGTGAGCTAAAACAGTCAGGCTGATCAGGGTAGGAGTGAATCGGGCATGGGTACATGCAGAAGGTAAGACAACAACACGGAGAAGAGGGGACTGCACGGCTCAGTGCACAAACACAAAAGCTTAATGCCAGAGAACTCGCCATTCAGCCCTGTCTCTTATCCCGCCGTATCATATGTCCATGCATTTACAATGTTGTCAATGGAATGTTG